ATTGTCCAGGAGGTTTTGACTAAATCCACTTGAATGTAGAATGAAATATAGAAATCTCTAGAAATATAATTTTTATCCTGGAGCTCTTCAGATCTGCAAAGAAAGTGTAACTTCCTCAGTATGGAAGTCTAACCTGGCAAAAGAAATGCCAATGTCCTGTATTACAGGGTTGTGGGTTCAAGTTCTGGCCTAACTGAAATCACCAGCAGAATTCCTTTGGACTTCAGCAGGGCCAAGATTTTACCTGCCAGTTTTTAAGGACAGTTTATAGAGATCTGAACCTTTTAATTTTTATTTTTAAATTATATTGATAATAAAGGAAATAAAAGGAAGATTATTTTTCTGAAGTAATGTTTTCCATAAGAAGCACTTGTCCTTACTAGTAGGATACTGTGATCTGAGCGCTAAAATTGAATCTCTGTCAAGTCATACAAAGCCAATGCTAACTTCCACATGTGGCATCCTTTTTTCCTGAGCAGTCATGTGCAATACTGTACATAGATATTGGCGTTTTTTCTCCTTGGCCATAAATTCTAGTAGTAACATCTCTTGGATTCAACTAAAAATGTTATTGGCATACTGAATGTTCAGAACTTTAGCCTGTGACATGCAGCTCTTCACTAATGACACATTCTACTGAGGCTTGGATTTCTTCTTGGCCTAATGCAATCATGAAGTAAAGCTTAAGGGAAATGCTGTCCTCTATAAGCCTCTTCAGGAAACAGCTCTGCTCCTACTGGTCTAGTATTTCATGGATCAAAACTCAGGGGTCAGATTTTAGCAACTACTAATAAACCCAGGTGCTAGAATTAAGAAGGAATGTCTTGTGACCTTGGACTACATTCTAATTGGTCATAGCATTTTGCTATAAGGGCAGACACCTGATCTGCTGGCAAAGTGAGGGTGCTTTGTGTTGCTGGAAGCATATTTCTGCCCTTGCTGCTGTTGAAGCATTCCTAGAGGAGATGGAGGTCTGACAGCAGAAGCAGCAGGTAGAGAAACAGCCAATGAAGCCCAGGCATTTTTATGATTTCTGTTTCCTGAGTTTTAGCCTGGTTGTTAATTATAGGCTTAATTCTGCAAATCCATGATGACGGAAGAGGCAGTGTGTAATTATAAAGAAAAGAACTGACAGCGTGAAGAGACGCATCTGAACAAAGTACAAAACCAGCTCAATAAAACAGGCAGGTAATGTTTCCTAAGGGGTAAGGACAGAGGCTCACCAATGGGGTGGGGTCTGGAGTCCTACTCACAGGACATGGATAAGCAAAGGTGTTTGCTGAGACTCAATGCCAGGCTCAGCTCTTGGATGTCCCACCTTCCCTAGAAGAGCCAAATGCTGCAGCAAAGGGTCCCTGTGTGGAACTAAAGGTCTAATTCTGCTCCATGGGATGGTCTTCCAGGCAGTGTGGGTAATCTCTGATGCTGTGCTGGCCTCTAATGCCAGACTGAAGCTAGGTGGAAACTGTGCTGCACAAGATCCCAGCTTCCAAAGGGGTTTGCCTGGTCTCGGAAAGGAAAGGGGCACACTGCACCAGGAACAACATCGGTTCACTTCATATTTATTTTAGCCAGTTACTTGTCTTATACTCTTTCTCAGGATGATCAGGCAGGCAAGACTCCTCTGCCTGCACTTACCCTCAAGCACAGCATGCGTGCTCTTGCCCTATTCCCACTGACTGATAACTATGCTGCACTGACTTCCCTGCTCATGGACAGCTTGGTTCTCTGGCTGGCCCTGTGGCTGTGATGAGAGGCTGGAGCTCAGAACTCTAGGCTGGTATCCAGTTGGGTACCGGCTTTGATGGTGGAGACCAGTCACCTGAGATATGAGTAATGCAAGCCCTTCCAGCACAGCACAGCCCCATTTGCATCGTCCCCCACTGTCAAAACCCAGCCAGTGCTCAGGGCACACTGCTCTGCCACTTTTCCCAGACAGGCATGCCCACCTATTTTGACTTTGCAGAACAGAAAGCCCCCCACTGCATGTGGCCTGACCCTTTTCTTCTGAGACAGGGTGATGCAAAGCCTAATTCTCCACACCTGCACCAGGATGAAGCCAGGTGCAAACGTATTGAAAGAGCAGAAATATGCTCATAATTTCAAAGGTATCCATACACCCCACAGGCTCATCAGATCCAAAGTCTTTGCCATGGAACATACATTCTGGAAGGAGAGCTCCTGGTTGGGATATGCTAATTGGTTTTGCTTCAGCAAAGTAAACCCCCAGCTTGACGTGGGAGGAAGGAGCAGAGTTCTGAGGGCAGCACCGTGTCTTTCAAAAGCGGGATCTACTTCCAAACAAAATGTCCAGGAGGCACCAGTGCCTTTCAATAACAGCAGGAGCCCACATATATTGTGTCCAATAAATAAAGCAGAAGCAATGCACGTGGTCAGAGTGTGGTTGCAGGGGCTGATGTACAAGGAAGAGAACAAGTATCCAGCATGAAAAACTTTTCTGATCGTGTCCAAGACAGCAAGGAAGGGGAACATGTATGTCATATGACTTGCTGTTCAAGGGTGGGTTGATAGCATCGCCAAATGCGGTCACTTCCAAGGTGTCATTTGGGAAACTACCATGGTAGACTACCAGAAGGCTGAACTGGGGACATGGCAAGGTCTCATTTGTCATGCTTTCCTGAACTGACTGGAGAAGGCTGCTTGCTGTCATCAAGCAATCCCTTGGGGTTTTCAGAATAGAACTGTGAGGAGCTTCCAGGGTCCTGGAGGAAAGTACTCAGACCCTGCCGCCCCTTGCCTGGCATCCTGAGAAATTACATGAAGTGATCTACTTGGGCTTGATTGTTGACATGTAGAGGTGGTCAGCTGCTGCATGGTAAGCTCAGCTATTTTTTTCTTGTACACAAGCTGTTCCTGATTATCTGCAAATGTTTTTATTTTCCAGAATTCACCAGTTCATGAAAGATCCACTGATTTTTTCTGCAGTTGGTTTGTGGGCTGTTCTCTTTGACTCTTCACTAGCCAGGGCGTGTGCAGTGTGACTTAGCAGTAAAGTCATCCAGGTCATTTCTACTCTCTGACTGGGCTTTTGGAATGTTTAAAACAGAAGAATCTAAACCACAAACAACATGACTTCTTCGCATGTGCAAATATTCAGACAGATAATCTTTCTTTTAAAGCTCATGGAGCCTTGCATATATCCCAGAGGCCCAAATCCTTATGACTTGTGGATAACACAACCAAAACTAGCAACCAAAAACAGCAACTCCAAATCAGTCCTTTCCTTTGTGAAGATCCTGCAGCTTACTGTAGCATCCTCCAGTTTTGGTGCTTTGTGCAAACCACCTGTGGGAGGCAGTGCAACAAGACCATGTCCTTGTCAGTCAACCATGTCAGTGCAACAAGACTGCCACCAGTCATGCCCTGCTGTAAGGGTCCCTCCCTGAGCACTGCATTCCTAATTAAAAGGTGCTCATTGCAGCAATGCAAGTCACTGGGGAAGTGTTTCCCATTCATTTTTTATTTTCAGTTATTACCACAGGAACTCTCAGGGAGATGGAGCTGAATGTTCACCGTGTCAAGCAAGTGGGAGGAAGCCAGCCCAAGGCTGTGGGCTCTCTGTAGCCTACAGGATCAGGCCCTGATTCAGTAATGAAAAGAGCTCATCTTGGTGTGGATAACATCTAAGCAGCTTTTGTTTAAAAGCCACTTGCATTTGGCCCCTAATAATCAGAGTATGGAGGCTGCCTGCACAGTGGTAGGGAGATCACAGAGGGGGGGAGGGGTGTGTGATTATTTTACAGCAAGGGATGGATGAGGATTAGAGCAAAGCTCACTCCGAAAGCTCCTCAACGCTGAGATCCAGGCTAAGAACCTGGGACTCCTGCTAGCAAAACCCACAGCCACAGGGAGGCTGGAAGTCTGGCAGGCCTAAGGGACTGCAGTGTATATGCCAGTGGGGAGCACATGCTGACAGAGTGTACCATACTGGCCACCCTGGCAATCTTTGGGACCTACCATGCCCACCAGGCCAGCTCTTGAGCAGCATGCAATAAAGCCAACCAAAGGAACATGCCTGGAACAGCATGACAGCATTTAATGGAGCTGGGCAGGGAATGAAACCAGGGCTGCCTCAGTGATTGTCTCCGCATTCAAGAGAAGTTGCTTCTCTTGGGCAACCTGTATAAAACTCAGCTGCAACTTGTGCCTTTTCATCAAACCAAATGCCACTTGTCTGACAAACATGAGCAGAACAGGATACCCATGTGGTGCCCACACGACACACATGAATTGGAAGGCTGTGGGCCTAGGTCATCCCAGGTGTAACTCCAAGGAATGGCATCCTGTACATTTATGAGGAGCAGATCCCCACAAAGGTAAAGTGCACTTAGTTACTAAGGTACAGACACCTTAGCAATCCTATAGGTAAGCAGGTGGGGAAAAAGGGAGGCAGGTAGATCAGATGAGAGAAAGATAAGCATGTTTGCTCTTATGAAGGAACATAATACATGCCCAGTACTCCTGAGATATGCATGATATTAATTTCATTGGAATGGAGTAGTTCCAGAAGGTAAAGTCATTTCTTGAATCATGGAGCTAAATGAAAAATTATTTGGGTAGAGCATATTGGGCCAGTCCCTCAAATGCTGGGGCTCAGACAGGGAGAGACAGGCTATGCTTTATCTAGTCCAGCCTCCTGGCCTTTCTCAGCAGTATTTTCAAAGTTCATAGCTCTCTCCAGAAGGCAATGGAGGTTCCTAGTGATGCCAAGTTCAAAGCCTCTTCACAATGCACTTCCATCTTAGGAAATACACAGACCCTGTGGAGGAGACGTGCAGATTTAGAAATGACGCTGACATGCCTCAGTTTAAAATGACCCTTGAGATTTTCAACTGATTACTTCAGCTTCCACATTTCCTTTGAAGATAAACAGAGCTATACCTGTTTATCCCAGTGGCTCCAGTTCTGTGAAGAGTAGATTGTGTTTCCCAGATGGATTCCT